TTATCACGTGAGTTAAATATTAATAAAAATTTGTTGTAATAGTAATTTTAATACTTATTTAACACTTAATACTTTAGGATCAATTATTAGTGATTGCAAACGATCCGAGAGGGGCAAGAAGCTGTGCTGGTGCCATTTTTTTTGAAGTCATGAATACACGGTTTTGGGAAAAACCAGGTAAGAACTTTTAAATCTAACAACATTACATAATCAACAAAATGATTATATTAAAGAGGTAAATTGTTTTATTTAATATGATTTAATATGTTTCTAGATGATCAGTTTGTACAGGCTTCAATTGGTGTTAATATAACTCAACTCATACGAAACAATAGAAGGAATGGTATGTAAAGTATAAAAGTTTAATCAAATTATAAATTTTTATTGATTTTCTTAATATTTTATAGCACGTGGGAACCGGAATACTCAAAATACGAATACGGATACTCAAAATACAGAAGATCGTAATAGTAAGTACAAAATTTATTAATTTTTTTTTCTTTTTTAGTCGTAAATACAAAATTTATTAATTTCTTTTCCTTTTTTAATCGATGATGATAATGATGAATGAGTTTTTATTTTCTATCATTTTTTCACAATTGTTTATTATCATTTATTATCATTATCATTTTATTATCATTTGTTAGCTTTTTGTTATACACCATTGATTATAATATCACTAATACACACACCACCTCGTTCACAAGTTTACAATCGTTTATTATCATTTATAAAAGTGGCAAGGAAAAGTTAAGGGGAGGGTATTACCAAATAAAAAAGTCTTCAAATAATGCTAAACTTAATGCGGAATATTTTTAAAATGTATAATTATTAATAATTTGAGCTCTATTAGCAACTGTAACTTTGATAAGAATTACAAGCAAAAAATATTTGTGGTAATTCTAAAATTTTGAATATCTTGTATTTTGGTACTTACGTGATTACGTCCCATTCAAATATTAATACATTAGCTTTAATAGGTACGCACTATTCTGGAGCTTTAAAATCTTCCTAACAAATCTCTGTAATTATATAAAATTAGTATGATTTGATGCAAGAATCAAATAATAATAATTGATACATGACTATTATCAAAATTTTCAGCGTCGCTAAAAATTAAAGCCTTTTCTATAAGATCCTTAAATGATATCCAATGCTCTTAAAAATTGTTTTCGTTATGCTAATTAATTTATTGGTCCCTTTCAATTACTGATCATCTGGCAGACTGCCATACACCAATTTTTTTTCACACGTGGTTTATCCATAGTGCACAAATAATAGTGCACATTTTCGTGCACAAAAAATTTTATTCTGTGCACAAAAAAATTTGATATGCATCGTATATATATTCGTATTAGATAAATGATATGATAATCTAATTTTTCTTTTTTTTTAAGCGTAATAAGAATGGAAGATATCACAAAATATCTAAATAATTATATTTCTCAAGAGAAAAAAACTGACAAACCAACAAAAAAAAGAAGTCGAAATGATAAAAATACAGAGGTTATTCAAATTAGTGATGTTGAAGATAATGAAATTAATAGTGAAGGAGAATTAAATGAGATTATTTAAGGTGAAAAATAAAAATAAAAAAAAATAAATATTCATGTTTAGAAAAAGATAACCTTAAATTGAATCCATCTTGGCCTTTCAAATATCCATGGTTATATTGTGAAAAAAGAAATGGAAAAGAAGTTATGTTTTGTAAAATATGCAAAAATGCAAATAGTTCTAGTGTGTGGACAACTACTGGTTTGGAGTGGTTAAAGGAAGATTGTATTAAAAGGCATCAACAATCAAAAAAACATATAAAAGCAATTAATGCAAAAAATTCAAATCAGTTGACAATTAAAGAAGGCTTTATGCAACAAATGAACCATAATCAAGCATTAATTATTTGTTGTATGCGTAATATATATTATTTAACACAACGTAATATAGCACTTAATAATTATGGATCTTTTTGTGATTTAATTACATATCAAATTAATTATCAATATCAAACTGGGGATGAAATTTTTATCCAAAATCTTCTTCCACCTCTTCTTCAAAATCATTCTGAAATTACAACTTCATCATCTTCAACTAATAATTATGCACTTTATAAAAATGCAGTTGCAGAAAGAGAATTACTTTTTTCTATATTTACTATTGTTGAAGAAAGCGTTGTTGCTGAGGTTAAAGAATCATCATGTTAGAGTTTACTTATTGATGAAAGCAATACAAATGTTATATCTGAAAAAACTATTTCATTAGTTTCGAAATATTTAGTAAATGGTGTACCTATTTTCTTTTTCTTGGATTGACACAAATAACAGATGCATCGGCTGATGGAATTATGAATGTAATAAACCTTTTTATAACTCAAAAAGAACTGGATATAACTAAATTAAGACATTTTGGTAGTGACGGAGCTGCAACCATAACAGGTAATTATTAAATAATAATTAATTAATCAAAAATATATAATTTAATAATATATATATATATATATATTTTATCATTTTACTTAGGCATTCGTAATGGTGTTGCAACTCAACTAAAAAAACTTAATAATTTTATTACATCAACACATTGTGTTGCACATCGCTTACACTTAGCTTCAGAAGAAGCTGCAAATGAAACACCATATTTCGCACATTATAAAACTATAATTAAAGGAATTTATTCTTATTTTTCTAATTCATATAAGCGAATGTATGAATTAAAAAAAATCAAAGAAGATATGGAAGTTTCTGATTTAACAATTCTTAATGTATGTGATACGCGATGGCTATTATGGTCTAATGTAATTAACAATTTTCACCAAATAATTGAACCCATTCAAAAAGCATTACAACGTGATGTTAATTCATTTAATACGGCTAAATTCTTATTTAACGCAATGGATACTGAATTTCTTATTATTACGAAATTTTTTGCTGATATTTTTTTTTATTTTAAAAAAAATTATATTGGTTTTTCAATTTGATTATATTTCTTTATGATTACAACTCGAAATGGCATATGAATCTATAACCGCAAATTTTATTGAATCTGCAGATGTCTTACTGAAGTATGGTACCCATTTGCGAAAGTTAATAGATGAGTTAGAATTACACCCTGAAGATTTGCCAGGCTAGTTTATTTTTAACTTATTTATTAAATTAATTACTAATAAATTTTTGCTCAATTATGTTTGTTAATTAGATTTTATTAAACATTATGCTGAAAAAGTTATTACAAATTTGTGAAAAAGATTTCCTAATGAAAATTTATATTATTCTTTACGAATTTTTGATC